GTCAGTTGGTTTGATTTAGTAGGAATCTTTTCCTGTGGAGTTCATTTCTGATTACGGCTAATTCAGTTCTTTTCAGAATCCTTCGGTGGCTGAGGTTTTAGAATGGAATTTTAGTTGGATGTATGTGGGGATCAGGCTTTTGTCTTGGCAGTTGCGTAGGAATGTGAGGTCACATAAGATGGTGGCTCTTCGGACTTCAGGTTTCTTATAGGATCTGGTGAGCAGGAAGGTTTCCTCCCCGTAGAGGTAAGATATTTGTTTTCGTAGATTTTCACGGATGTAGGTATGCCGGTCTTGTTGTATTCGGGTATTTTCCCATGTAAGATTGAGAATGTCTTGGCAACGTTTCAACAAGGTCTCACTCGCCATCTTCAGGCTGGGTTTTGGGCTTAAAGTGTGGTTGGAGCTGCCGTCTTTCTATAAATCTTGGTTAAACCAAAACCCAGCCGGAAGATAGCGAGTGACACCTCACCGAAACGTTGCCAAGACATTCTCAATCTTACATGGGAAAATACCCGAATACAACAAGACCAGCATGTGTGTGTGTGTGTGTGTGTGTGTGTGTGCACGCATTTCTTTGCTTTATTATTGTATGCCACCTAGAATCAAAGTATTTTAAAATAAATTAAATACCAATTTTTTTTGTACATGTAGATACAATTGAAAAAGAGATAAGGAAAACATTCAGTATTCCAGATGAAAAAGAAACAAGATTGTGGAACAAATATATGAGTAATACCTTTGAACCTTTGAATAAACCAGACAGTACCATACAGGATGCTGGCTTATACCAGGGACAGGTATGATATATATTTCTGGCCCTACATTTGAAAATATAAATATTACAAACTTTGATTATGTTGACTGATAGTATGCTGCCATCTAGAATCTCCTGCTTCTTGTTCTCTAGGTCAGGCACATATCCGTGTATACTAATTGACTCTATTGGTGAACATGTGACAGAGAGAGGTGCTGCAATGATCTTAATTGTGGGCTTTAGTTGCAAAGTATCTTTTCCATCACCCTAAGTAACTTTGAACAGTAACTATCTGAATTTCTAAGTGAAGTCTACCTCTAGTAGCAAAAATGACATTTTACCAACATTCTAGAATGCTTTAAATAAAGATTTTGATCTGAATTTAATGGATAAGGTAAAAATGCATAATATTGGCATAATTGAAAAATCTACCATTTGTACATGCTTCAGCATACAGATGAGTATAGATCATCCTCAGCTTACAACAGTTCATTTAGCGAATATTCAAAGTTACAAAAGCATTGAAAAAAGTGACATGACTTTTTCATGTTTATGACCATTGCAGCATCGCCATGGCCACGTGATCAAAATTCAGATGCTTGCCAATATTTATGACAGTTGCAGTGTCCTAACTGATCATTTGATCACCATTTGCGACCTTCTGACAAGCAAAGTCAATGGGGAAGCCAGATTCATTTAACAACCATGATACTAACTTAACTACAATGCTTCACTTAAAAACTGTGTCAAGAAAAGTCATACAATGGGGCAAAACTCACTTAAGTGTTTCACTTAGCAACATAACTTTTGAGCCCAATTGTCATAAGTCAAGGACTACCTGTAAATATAAATTATGCTCCATTATTCTAAACTGAATGAATTTCATGTTTGTCCCTTTTGTTGCATATAGGTATTAGTGATAGAACAAAAAAATGAAGATGGAACATGGCCTAGAGGTCCTTCAGCTCCAAAGTAAGCGATTTAAAGAAAGTAATGCCTTACACTTAATGAAGTTATGTTCCTTTATCCCAAGCCTTCTGTATTTGGAAGCAACATTTTTGTAACTCAAAAAGACAGTGTGTTTTAATGAAATTATTTGGCTTAAAACTGAGTGAAAAACGAATATTCTTCAGGATGGAAATTTAATTGTGATTATAACTTCTAGGAAACGTGGATTAAATTTTGAAATAGTATTGTATTTTCAAGTTTGTCACTGCTATTTATGTTAGTAGTTATATCAGTTACATTATGATTATTGGCTGTCTTTTGACCTGTATTGTGACACTAGGACTGAATAATTTCTTACTCTCCCATTAGCCAAAGCAATAAATTTGAGTCTCTATATATCTGTCCTTATGTTGAGGAACTTGCTTACAGTAGAAAATTACACACATAGCTCAACTAGATTAATTGTGTTATTGCATATAAAAATGTAGCCATATAGACAAAGATTTGCAAAATGTAAAATAAAAACTATGTAAATGTCTATTTTCCAGAGTTTATATATATTTTTCCTACATTTTAGGCCAATCAAAATTTGGTTATTCTCTTCATAGTTGAAATAGGAAGACTCAGTGTTGACATGATTATATCAACTCTTTCCTTATTTCCTCCCCATCCCCACATTTGGAGGTATTCCATTAGCCTTTCAAGGTTGTCCAAATCAGAAACAGACTGCACAGGATGATTAGATTTTTATTAAGAGGCTATAATAATGGGATTGTGCAAGTCTGATTGTGTTTCTCCTCTCATTTCTCTTTTACACCAGAGAATCGGGAAGCAACCACACTGAGTCTTTCCATAATACTATCACCTTTTTCAGGGCTCAAGGATGCTTCTGTATTTTTGTAAAAACTACTATATATTTCCCTGAAGACTATCTCTATAGTACTTTACAGATGTGTCTATCTGTCTGTTTTCTGGTTGTGGGTGGTTAAAAGATATTGTGCCTCCACTTCTAGTTTCATTTCTTTATCAAATGGAGCTCACAAGATTTCAAATATCTCTGCTACTCCATTCTCCTAACTCACTATAATAAGAAGGGAGGATTCTTTATCTTTTCTTCAGTTAAGCCGGTAGCCTTTCTTTTTCTCCTTCCTCTTCACCCTGGGGAAGAAAGGGAAGGGAGGTATTTCAGTTGTATCAATCACCCACTGATACTCATTTGAGTAAATCTCTCATGTCTTTTGTTACTTTTACAATTATTTTCATTCCTTTTTTCAACATATCCTCTCCCCTTTTCACAGCCTGCTTGCATGGCTATACAGGCAGATTAAGTTTGTAAAGGTTTTTCAAAGCTTTGATCCAGGGAGGTCTAGGGATAAATGGGAGAACTCTGAAATGGGAGGAGGAGAGCAAAATGTTTTGTAGTAGATGTATGTAGCTGTAACTGGCCTAAAATGTTTACGTCTAAGTGGAGGCATACATGAATTTAGTCATAGTAAAAGGTCAGGTTGGTTGTTGTTGTTGTTTTTTTGCTGGTAGTTTACACAGCAGTGTATTGCTTTAAGGTGGCATTTTTTTCTCTGTTTCATCATCAGCCTGTGAATTATGAGTATAGGATTGTTGAAGCTTAATATCCTCTATATGAAATAGAAACTTTCAAAAAACTGACCGTATAATGGGTCTCTAATAAAAATCAGCAGATTGTGCACTTTGTAGTTCTAGACAACTTGAACAGATAAGCTGTTTCATGGTTGTAGAGGAGGCAGTGGTGGGATTCAGGCGGTCCGCACCTATTCGNGAACCATCAGAAGGATCTTCCCACTCAAAAGCAAGGTATGACTGACATTCCCTAGCCAAAGGGATACAGAAGAAGGCATCTTTTAAATCTGTGACTGTATACCAATTCTGATCACTTGAAAGCTTAGTCAGCAAAGTATATGGATTGGCCACCAGAGGATGTAGTCGGTGGAGCCGGCAGTTGGTCTGTCATAAATTGTGAGTGAATCTCCAAGTCGCATCAGGCTTAGGGACGTGGAAAATTGGTGTTGACCAGTATGATTCTGTGCGAACGAGGAGCCCAGTTTTCAGAAAAAGTTCAATCTGGGTCTTAGTGCCAAGTTGTGCTTCCTGTTTAATAGGATATTGGCGAATTGCTATAGGTTGGGCGTCTGGGAGTAGCTGAGCCATATGGGGCATAGCAAACATTGCAAACCCAGGGATTCCTTGATACCAAACCAGGGAATTTATTCTATTGTAATCAGGTCCGCTAGGGATTGTTTCTTTCCCCAGGTAACAAAGATAAGCTCTTTCCGGGGGAATTTCAAGGGAGACTCCCTGCTGGGTGCATTGTATAACTGCCCCAGTTTTTCTAGGAGATCCCTCCCCAAAAGATTGATAGAACATTGTGGCAATATTAGAAAGGAATGCTGGAGTGAAGGTCCCTTGGTTGGTTCCACCACCATTGGGTGACTGATTGGAGTATCCTCTTCTATCCTGATCGCTCCAACAATGGGGGTAGTTTTGGAAGAAAGGCAAGGGATTTATTTATCATTCAGGACATTGAATGTAGCCCCTGTATCAATCAAAAAAGAATAATATTTGTTCCCCACTTTTAGCTCCATTAGAGGGTTTGGGAAAGCAGTTGGCTCTCCAGAGCCCCCTCAATTGGTTTCTCGGTAGACCTCAGGAGCTTGAGCTGTCATGAGAGGTAGGAGGGCCTGGCTTAAAGCCTTCTCACCCCCTAGGTTGCCCTCGTCCCCTACTGGGCTGTCGCTGTTCAAGGGGGCATTTTCTTCTCCAATGACTAAATTGATGACATGCAAACAAGCATTTCCATGTCTGTTATCAAGTTGACACCAGGCACACTGATCTCTGTGGAAGGAGTTGCTCCTGGGATTAGCTGAAATCCCCCTCCCTTTACTTTGGGGATTTAGAGCCGCCGCTAAAAGAGCAACTTGCCTTCGCATCTTCTTTCTTCTCTCCCTCCTCCTCTGGGCATAAACGGTGAAAGCTGTCTGACCAAGGATCTCTAAGTCCTTAACAGTTGGGGTTTCTAGTTTTTGCAATTTATGTCTGGAGCACTTTGGCCTACAAAAATTATTTTTAACAATACATCGTTGGCTGGGCTATTAGGATCAAGGTCAGTAAACCATGGGAATCCATCTTTCAAATGGTTTAAAAAATCAGTGGGGGATTTGTTGGGATTTTGAAGGATCTGATGAACGCAGTGAAAGTTCACTTTTTAAATAAAAATTTTATTTTCAAACAAAAATAAACATGCAAAACATATAGCATAAAAAACCTCTTCAACTACATAGTGTGTTACTTGGTTATAAAATCTTTCTCTGTCCTTTCCATAGTCATCACTTGAGCTTTATCAAAAATCACTTATTGTCAATCAAATATCTTTNCCTTCTGTTACAAAGTCAGTGAAGTCAAATAGGAGTGAACAAAGGATACATTGTTTCAAGGAAAAAAAAACTTCAGACTCAGGCTTCCAAATGGCAGATTCAACTTTTTTTTATACTTTTTCTTTAAGTATCTTTAATATAATTTTATAACAAATAGAAGGAGGAATTTGTTAAAATAAAAAAAAGTTTTAGTTTAAGCCAAAAGGATTAAGGTAGTGAAAAATAGAGGAAAAAATCAGTCCATTCACTTCAAGTAGAGAAACAGGAAACGTTGCAATCACTTCAATCCACAAAACATCGTTACAAGCAAGAGCGAAAAACTTTCTAAGGCAGTCCAGGAGGGATTCAATTCGCCGCTTTATTCTTCCGGAGCCCTCTCCGACTTTGTCAGCCTGGGGGCTGCCTGTTTGCCGCTGGTTGGAAGTGCTTCCCTTGGGTCGATCAGGGACTTTGCGGTGTCCCAGCGACCAGCAAGGTTTTGTCTTCCTGGTCACCATTTCTTCGGGACAGTTTAGGTCCTACCTGACCATCCAGGGGCAAAAGTGTCATTGGCGGACTCGGACTGTCGAGTCCGCATGATGTATCATCACAACGTTGGCTCCTCCTCTCCGGCCACCCAGGTTTTGTGGCCCCAAGTGTTTTCTTTTCTGTGGAAAACGGGTCCAAATGGCTCTTTGAGTATTTAAGGTTGCAGACCCCTGTATTAGTCATTCACACATTCAGATTTGGCTCCATTTCTAAAATAGTATTCATCTATAAATTACTATGTTATTTAATTGTTATGTATATACAGTGGGGCAAAAAAGTATTTAGTCAGCCACCAATTGCGCAAGTTCACCCACTTAAAAAGATGAGAGAGGCCTGTAATTGACATCATACGTAGATTTCAATTATGAGAGACAAAATGAGAAGACAAATCCAGACAATCACATTGTCTGATTTGGAAAGAATTTACTTGCAAATTATGGTGGAAAATAAGTATTTGGTCACCTACAAACAAGCAAGATTTCTGGCTCTCACAGACCTCTAACTTCTGATTTAGGAGGCTCCTCTGTCCTCCACTCATTACCTGTATTAAGGGCACCTGTTTGAACTTGT